TGGGATTACCCCTATTCTACTAGTGAAATGGCTTGAAAAGCACAATATCAGTAATGCACTTATTCTTAAATCTGCTGTCACCATGACTTGCGTCACTAAGCACAGGTGCTGGCACACAGCAGGTACTCGTATTTGAATGAATGAATCAGTGACCAACCGTAGGTAAATCATTCAACTACTCTATATACTTTAAACTTTCCATATATAAAAGTAGGCTCTCTCTGGTCTGCTTTCTCAAGGTATGATTTGGCTTGATCAAGGTACTCTGAAACTTTGACATCAAGACAATCAGAAAAAAAGATGCTTCCATTTCATGCAAAAGTCACACAGCAGAGAAATTATGTCATGATCACCATGTTCAGGCTCATCTGACTTTCACCGTACATTAAGTATCACTTCTTCAGAAAAAAGTCTCCCGAACCCCAAGTTAGTAACTCTTCTTGAACACCCTATTTTCCCTTTGTGGTACACACAGTAGTCATTATAATATCTGTTTTATTCTTTGTTAAACATTTGTCTTCCTCTCTAGATTTCAGACATCCTGAAGGTGGGAGTCATGTGGGCTTTGGTAACAGACCTTCTGTTTCTTGCACCTGGAAGTACCTGGCACATATGTTTAGTAAATACTTATTCAATATTTGAGAGCAAAAAATCCAGCCAATGGCACTCCTTTAATATACTCAAACAATAAAAGCTTAGAAATTAAGGGAAAGAACATGAGGTCATCAAAAGTTGAATGTTCAGAACATCACTCTTCTCTCAACTTGTTTCTCCCTGGTAGTAACAGTGATAAAAGAAGTAACTGTGCCATAGTGTATCCGTGTGCCATTTTACAGCTTTCAAAACACTTTCATCACATATGTGGTCTCATGACTGAAAGTCTTCAAAGAGCTCATACAGAACTCTCTGTGGTTTGACAGGAATGTTTTAAAGCATGGTGACAGGTATATAACCTATTTATCCTAAGAGATTTTCTAAATGACTTATAGATTTGTCTGGAAATTTTTTTTAGTGCCCACTGCATAATATTCCCTCTGCAAACTAGGTGGAACAAAGCCCTTTTTAAAAAAAATTTCAGAGCACTGAAATAAATACTGGTTCCAAATCAAGTCTTCAGGCATCTTAGAACATAGTAGCTCTATTTTCTCTAAGGACAGAGAAAGGCAATCTGAAGCTGCTGCATGCCCAAGGGACTTCCTAAGGATTGTTGGTAAATTGAGCTGCACATGGAAGGTTCCAAAGTGAACACCTAACACCCTTTCAGAGGTGTGGAAAAGAATAGGAGAAAGACTTATATTTAAATAAAAAAACTTTAATGCTCTTTGGTGATTTTTTTTTTTTTAGTTTTCTATGACTATATGAAAATTCATAAATTGTAAGACCACACAGTGGATCAGAATTCTGGCAAATGTTATAGTAATGGAAGTGCTGTAGTTCTAAAAGTCTTTGACAGAACAAAAGTTAAATGGGACACATACAGCTTCTTATTATCTGTATTCTTTCTTAATAATCTGATTTTAAAACAATTTCATCTTAGAGGTCATGAACACCTCATACCATAACTTAACTAGCTTATATCTAATCTAATCCTACATCATTTTTGGATTCCAACAGGTCAAAGGCCAAAAGAAGTTCTTTTTCAAAGCTTTGACACAAGCGAGCAAAATACTTGTCTTTAAAAAATATCTTGTTCTGGAGCTATTAAGGGAAAGAACATGAGGTCATCAAAAGTTGAATGTTCAGAACATCACTCTTCTCTCAACTTGAAACTAAGTTTCTCCCTGGCAGTAACAGTGATAAAAGAAGTAACTGTGCCGTAGTGTATCCATGTGCCATTTTACAGCTTTCAAAACGCTTTCATCACATATGTGGTCTCATGACTGAAAGTCTTCAAAGAGCTCATACAGAACTCTCTGTGGTTTGACAGGAATGTTTTAAAGCACGGTGACAGGTATATAACCTATTTATCCTGAGAGATTTTCTAAATGACTTGTAGACTTGTCTGGAAATTTTTTTTAGTGCCCACTGCATAATATTCCCTCTGCAAACTAGCTGGAACAAAGCCCTTTTTAAAAAAAATTTCAGAGCACTGAAATAAATACTGGTTCTAATCAAGTCTTCAGGCATCTTAGAACATAGTAGCTCTATTTTCTCTAAGGACAGAGAAAGGCAATCTGAAGCTGCTGCATGCCAAAGGGACTTCCTAAGGATTGTTGGTAAATTGAGCTGCACATGGAAGGTTCCAAAGTGAACACCTAAAACCCTTTCAGAGGTGTGGAAAAGAAAAGGAAAAAGACTTATATTTAAATAAAAAAACTTTAATGCTCTTTGGTGATTAATTTTTTTTTTTTTTTAGTTTTCTATGACTATATGAAAATTCATACATAGTAAGACCACACAGTAGATCAGAATTCTGGCAAATGTTATAGTAATGGAAGCGCTGTAGTTCTAAAAGTCTCTGACAGAACAAAAGTTAAATGGGACACATACAGCTTCCTATTATCTGTATTCTTTCTGAATAATCTGATTTTAAAACAATTTCATCTTAGAGGTCATGAACACCTCATACTATAACTTAACTAACTTATATCTAATCCTACATCATTTTTGGATTCCAACAGGTCAAAGCCCAAAAGAAGTTCTGTTTCAAAGCTTTGACACAAGCGAGCAAAGTACTTGTCTTTAAAAAAGATCTTGTTCTTCCTATTTAAGGAATATGTTTGGAAATATGGGTTTGCAATAACACAGTATCTTGCATCTCCATCAAATTTTATGAATGTCAAAGCGTTTGACATACAGTACCTAATCCAATTCACACAATAATCTTGTGGAACAGGCAGGCCAAGAATTTTATAAATGGAGAACATAAGGTTCTAAAGGTTAAGTTTCTTGACCCAGAGTCATAAGTTACAAAATGGAAGAACTAGGTCTAGAAGACTTTCTGATCACTAGACCATTGCTATTTCTAGAGAACTCTACCATTCTGGCCCCTATCAAGCTGTTGTTCACTTTTTATCTGTGACCAAAACAAGCAATAAGATAGCAATATCCATAACTTCAAGCATGTAGAATACATAAAGAGAGTGTAAGATATTTCCTTCTAAATAATGATCATAACCCACTACGACGCTGTATAGTTTCAGGTTCTAGAAACATTATAAAATCATGAGTTGCTATTACTTGGTCCTGTGTCAAGCCTATACAGAGAGCAAAACTTTGCATCAGAAAAGGACAAAAAGCATGTTTTCTCCCCTTATGAAAGACAAGGGAGTTTCCTGACAAGCATTAGAATCACTAAATCCAAGTTGCTCTACAGTCTAGGGTAAGGTGAGGACTGAAAAGTGGGATAAAACTCAGTGTCACCTTTCCTATTTAGCAGGGTGGGGGTAATGGCAAGAGGGCTCAAGATGAAAGAATGCTGTGAACTATAGAATGTGGGTGAGAGAGGGCTTGTCTTTTGTTAAAACTGAGTGACTCAGTTTTTTAAAGGGAGAAAAGCTGGATTCTTTATGTAAAAATACCTTGAACATCTGTGAATCCTAGAGTTTTATAGGAAAAAAATCCATGTTAAGTTCTTTAATCTGTTTACTTATCTATAATGTACACTGGGCTGTTACATTTGCACAACACCTAAGTAAAGATACAGAAAGGCCTATCAAATAACCTCTGTAGAATATAAGGGTCAAAGCAGGATTTATCTATTCAATAGGCCTAACTCTGACCTTCGGTAGCAAACACACTATTCTATAAAGTCAGTGGTCTTCAACCCTGGATGCATATTAGAATGAGTTTTTAAAAAAATACTGGTACCCAACCCTGCTCCAGACCAATGAAATCAGAATCTCTTTAAAGTAGTGACTGGCTGGTTCTAGAGTCCAGCTGGAGTTGAAAAACCTCTGGTCTAAGCACTTTGTAATCCAGTTTCAAATGCCCCAACATGACATCATTTTCGTATTTTCCTATGAAAGAAATATTCACAGTACCAGGACCAATAACCTCAATTGCTAGAAACATCAGAATTTCATAAGCTGAATGAGTTTATTAGTTGGATATAAGGGGACATTCTTTAGTTAGTCACAAATACTACACTTAATGAATACAAACCATTAAAAAAAGCAAAAATTCTTAAATCAGAACAAAACATTAGAACTTTTTTTGAAAACACAGGAAAACTTTATATAATTATGAACATGTAATTAGGTAATGCTCATTTAAGTATGGCTTAAGTATTACAACATATTTTAAAATTTATCTTCAACTGAATAGTTGTATTCTACATTGTAAAATATTTGATTTTTGGAATTTTCTCCCAGATATTAGAAAAGGCAAATAAAGAAACCAGAAGTACAAGACACCCTATTACACAGGTATATGAAATCAGTTCAAAGGGGAGTTTCCACTGCTTGGAGGATAAAGGACTTCTCAGAAACATTACTGCAATCATATTGCTCATTTCTTACTCAACACAGTACTACTGAAAAGGATGTTGCTAAGTTCCCACCTTAACTGCCTTATGTGTTCCTGTGACAGCTGGAGTCAACAAAGATAAGTTTAGCTTCTGGAAAAAATGAAATGCCAACCTTCTTTATTTTTAAACTTGCTCTAAAACTCTTCCATATAATGTGATCTTACAAATTTTGCAATAGCTATATATTAGTTAAAGCTGGAGAATGAGTAACTAAACCTGGTCTAAGTTGTATGCTTAAGCAAAAATAACAATAAAAACAAGTGCTATGCAATTTTTAGCATTTTATAAAAATCTATTCATATTCAAAGGAGGCTTAGACTAAAAATTTTGAGACAAAAAAATATAAGACAATCTAAAACAGATGTACTATCCTAATTAAACCTAGGTGGCCTAGGTGGGAAAATATTTAAGATTCCTATTCTATAAACTTCCTAATAGCTGCTACAGTAAGGATAAAGGACTATGAAAGGTTAGAGACGTATTTTGTTTTTGTGTTTCCATTTCTAGGTCAGTGAGTTGTAACCAAATATATCCAGGTAAATGGTATAAACTTATATGACTTATCATAGATTGAACAGCTTTTACATAATGGTTTAGTTCTTGATTCATCATAGCAAATTCAACCATTGCCTTGTCCATACTGTATTCGCTACTCACTTCAGCTGAAAGAAAAAGAAAGCAATTATTGTTTTCTATTTAAAATGCCATATCTGGAAAAAGTTACACCAGTATAATAAATAGTCAATGGTCTAAACAATTTTGTAAAGGTATTACATATTTTGTAAAGACCTCCTTAACATATGGCTGCTTCATGCAAAATTCTAAGAATATGCCCAGTAGAAGAAGGCTCAAAGGCAATGTTGTGGGTGGAAAGAAAAGAAGCCTCAGACTCAGGAGTTCCAGGCTGTGCCTTACTTGTGTGATCTGGACCCAGTCCCTACACATCCTTCAGCCTCAGTTTCCTTATCCGGGAAAGCAGCCTGTCATACATCTGTACACAGACCTCACAGGATTATTAGAGATAAGATAAGGCAGATTTTCACCTCTAGTAGGTTAGGGTATGTGGACCAATCCTCCTGTTGAAAGCAACTGAAATGACTGGATAAATAGAAAAAAAGGAAAGAAAGAAAGATATCTTAAAAATAAAAATGCACCAGATAATCAGAAACAATCAGGGCAAAATCTAGGGAAAAGCAAAAAAGAGAAACAGCACAGAGAGCTAAAGCTGCACACCCTCCCCCAGTCAGCTGGGTCTCCACTCCTCTAGGTAAAGAGCCAGAATTCATCCCACCTGCTCCTCCTGGCTGCAGGGAGGCTGGCCTTGGCCACGCGGCGGAACAGAGGGAAGAGGGAGAGAAAGCAAACCTGCTTCTGAAAAATTGTGGCCGCAAGCCAGCCCTCCTGGATTTGCAGCCCGAATTCCCCTCACTTGAGTGGTCCAGGGAACGAGAGCTCTGATCTTGATGTGAGGTGGCCTTACATGGCCACTACCCACAGACAGGTACTCCCCTCTGGAGAAGAGACTTTCATCCTAGGCCTCACATAATCCTTACAAATAATTGTGAAGGCTAATGCACAGATTATAGAAGAAAAAAATAAAACACACACACATAAAACCTTATAAACCCTAAAAAAAACCCCACAAGAAAACAAGCCATCAAGGTAAGAATCAACAGAAACAGATCCACAAATGTTTCAGATATTGGAATTATCTATTAGTCCAAGTGTGAAACAACTATGCTTACTAAGTTTAAAAATTAAAATACCTACAGGGAACAGGAGACTATAAAAAGTGACTAGCAAATTGAAAAAGCAAGGTAATGTTCTTAAGTGCTTTTCAAATGTTTTTCCAGGCTTCCAAATGAGTTTATTTTTGAAAGTACAGAGAAATGTGACTTTGGCATGAAAAATGCTATGGAAGTCTGCAAAATAAATAGGATGATGGTTCTCATTATCAAGGTCCCATGGATGCTAGCAAGACTTGAAGCAGATAGCAATTTCAAATAACACAAGGCCAAGGAGACCCTTCCTGCCAAGGAGAAAACAAGTGATGGCTGGGTCAGTGTTTGATGGAATGAAGCCTAAGGGAAGACTCTCTGGAGGCCATCTGTGGCTCACAGGCCGCCTCAGCTGAGGCTCTAGGACCCAAGGATGTGGGGACAGGCTGAAGAACCTAAGTGATGAATAATGCAGCCTTAGGCAACAAAAGGAAAACACTAGAAGAGATCAGGCAGCTAGTCCTGAAAACTGACAATCACACCACACCTGGAGGTGATGCCCAGTCAGGTAACTTGTAGCTGAAGTCCGTGTCTTGGCCTGTTGCAGAAAAGGGCTAGAGAACAGAGACCCAAGACAGGAACTGGAAGAGGCTCCCGTAACAGTTCTGGAAGAGAGGCCATGAGAAAGGCCACATCAAGCAGCAGCCCTCCATGGCTACTTCAGGATTCCTTCTGTGATACTTCTTGTGCTTCTTGTCAACACTTATTCCCCTACTGCAGTTCTAACCTCTTTCAAAGCTGTGATGTGTGTTCATGTTTCAGAAACACCAGGCAAGGGAAGGCACAGGGAATCTGCCTTGTCCTACTAAAGGATTGCAGTGAGGAAAGAAGGGCATAGTGTTGCACAAAAAAAGGGCAAATAGACCAAATAAATCCCTGAAGAATTCAGGAGGAAAAAAGGGATCAACACCTAGGGAGTTGGCTGCTGAATAAAAAGGTCTGTGAGCGGGGGAGTAGTGAGGGGCAGGGGAAAGACATGCACACTGACCAGCCAGAAGGTCCCTGCTCCTTCACTCCTCAGTATACAATCTCAGCTGCAAAATTCTCCCTCTCCTACAGGAAAGCCCTTCCTAAAAATTGACAGCAAACTCTATCCTACACATCCTTCAAGGACTGAACTCAGGCCTTTCCTGCTTTGAAACTACACCAGCCTAGAAGGTCTCTTCCTTCACTTAATTTACCTTAACTACTACACCTGATACTTGGCACTTTTAGCCATGAACAATCTTGTCTTCTTATATGCACTTACCTCATTTCTCCAAACAGATTTTAATCCATTTGAAAGTAAGAAAGTGGCTCTAGCCTTCTTGGGATTCAACAAAGAATTGTAACAATTCTTCCTTCAATATTCTTATATGGCCATTATTTAACACATTTGAAAATTAGTCCTTTGCCAAACTGTAAATTGTTCTGCATCAGATATTCAATTGAATTAAAATGTGAAAAAGACATGTGATAATTAACTCATTTGCCTATTATATTTTCATTGTGGTTTTTCCACAGGAAAAAGGATGGCCCCAATGCTTGGTAGATTTACACAAGATGTCAATATTCACAGAGTGACAATCCCAGAGAGTAATGTATTTCTGCACCACGCCTTCCTGCAAGCCTGGCATTAGAGAAGATTAGTGCAGATGATAAAGCTTAGAAAGTTAAGGACAATGATTAAAAAAAATATACAATAATAGCTGTTGCTAAGAATTATTAAGCACTTCATTATGTGCCAAGATTATTCCTTGCACACATATTTACATTAAACCCCACAGGAACATTAGGAGATAGTGAGTTTTATCTCTGCTTAACATATGAGAAAACTGAAATGAGGTAAGCTGCTGAAGCAACTTGCTCAAGGCCACGGAAGTAGTGAATGGCAGACCTGGTCTCCAACTCAGGCTTTCTATCTGCAGTTTGCACACTTGCCCACCTGTGCTAAAAGGTGCTCAAAGATGAGAAGGACAGGCACCTCCAACTCACCCAAGAATATCTTGGGAACAAACTCTCCGGATGGGAGAAAGTCAAGGCCCTGAGATGCTCTCAGTTCCCTGGTGATTGTTCCAAGTAGGACACCAGCCAATGCCACTCAAATGCTATCAAAACTGGAAAAGCTTTTCCAATTCCTTAAGTATAGGAAGATGATAACAGAAGAAAGTTATTTTCCCCCTTTTCAAAGATTACCAAATTTTAATGGTGAAGGTAACACTTCACATCAGCAAGGCTGACTGGATGGGTTACTAAAGCAACCAAATAACCCACTGGAAGCTACAAGAATAACTAAATCATCTCTAGCTGCTAAGAAGTCAGACCCGCACCAGGCCAAGAGCACTGGCAGCAACAGATGGAAGCAGCAGCCACACACGGGCAGCAGCAGAGACATGGTCAAGGGAAAGGGAGGAGCCCTCGGGCTTTACGTTGCAGAGATACTTCTAGGTAGAGCCCCCTGACAAAACCATTCCTATTAGCCATGCCTCTGACTGTCTCTCTCCCTTGGCCAAGCCGGTCTGGGAGTCTAGGAATATTCACGTTTCTTTAGGTGCCATTCGACAGTCATCTATTTATTATAACCAACCCTTGCTGTGTTACTCAGATGAACCTGTGATATACTTGAACATTCATTTACAAGGCAACAAAGGCACAGGGAAGTGTCCTGGGGAGAGTTTGGTGTCTCTGTGAAACCTGCACTCACAAATTAAGAAACCATACCTTGTATAATGTCAGAAAACTAGGTTGGAGTCAGTTTATGGGGATCTTAAATGCCTAGTTAAGAGGTTGAGAAAGGGTTTAATTCTCAGTGAGAGTGACCGAAAGCTTCCAAACGAAGGTCATTTTTAAATCAAGTCATGAATTAAGACAACGAACTCAGTTAGCAGTAGTATATGGAATGAACTGGAGTTGGAAAAGGCTGACTTATAATAACGGGTGGAAACAGAGGAGAAGGTATGGGTGACAAACATTATAAATCACAGAAGGGAGGGAGGGAGGGAGAGAGGGAGGAAGGAAGGGAGGGAGGGAGGGAGGGAGGGAGGGAGGGAGGAAGGGAGGGAGGAAGGAAGGAAGGAAGGAAGGAAGGGAGGGAGGGAGGGAGGAAGAAGGGAGGAAGGGAGAAGGAGCGAGGAGGGAGGGAGGGAGGAGGGAGGAAGGAACTGTTCTAAGAAGTTGACACAAGAACTAGCTGAAATATGCCCCCCATCCCTGCCCCAGTAAATGAAGTCCAGAGGGCACAGATAATCTCTGATTTACATTATAAAATTACAACTGTTCCTGTAAGTATGCCAGTATGAAGCTACCCCCCTACAAATCTGTGTGCCTGTACCCAGTGATCCTGGTCAGAACTATCTCAGACACTGTGGACTGACTGCTAATAATACCTGGAGGGCTTTTAAAGTGTTACTTAGACCAGGAAGAGCCATAGAATTAAACCCATTCTTTAAAGACAGTTTCTGTTTCATTTTGTTTTTTTCAAACAAATGAGTTGCAAACCCTAGATAATTAAATAATTTTATTCACTAAAGGAAAGGCTGCTTTTTAGACTAAACAGCTCTGATATTTATATAATATAGAAAGTATCTGAATGGATGTAGTTGGCCTGCATATAATTTTCCTCAAGTTAGATGAACCTATAATTATGCAATCTAAGCAGCCACACTATTCATTAGACAAGTCATTTGTTACTCAGTGTCAAAATGCACTAACAGCATATTATAACTATTACTATTCTTTTTGAATAGGCACTAAAGTTACATGATTAGTTAAACATTAAGCAGAAATTGGTGATTTCATTTGAAGATTCTACTTAAAACAAAATTCATGAGACTTTGATGAAAGGAAGATGATGGCTGAGAAAGAAAGAAGTAGAAAAGCAAAGCAGTGACAATCAATGCCAGTCG